TGAGTACAGATCGATTGCTTATTGTTTTGGATGTATACATTAACTAACAGAAATGTGCGATAGGTTGATGTAAAGGAGCTAAACAATAGATGAGTAAACATGATGGTATTGCGGTATTGATGTGAAATTTATTTACATTTTCATGATGTTACTATCTGAAAAGCAGTGCCAAAGTTTGACACCTAAAGGTCCCTATTGTTCAGTTTACTTCAACCATGTTGCTGATAACTATTTTTTCATCTTACTGTGATATGACTGATCTCTGGGCCAGCCCCTATCAGTTCAGAACATTTGTTCCTAAACCTTCTTGCCAGCTTCTGGTGTTTTTTCCAATTCACATGAATATTTATATCAATATCACTGGGAATCTAAACAAGACACAATATAAATAATTATTTCCCTAATAATTTTCTTCAGATTAATACTATATTCTGACTGTGTGTGCGTGGTTTTAATAGACCTCTTGGCCGCCAGGCTCACTACTTGATCACGTGATCTGAAATGGGTAAACAAAGACACTTCGACGAAGCGTGTCATGTAAAAACAGAGTTTGACTATCTGTAAAATTTTGCACAATGGTTCACTATTGCTGTGTCTACAATTGTAAAAACAGTTCTCTTGATGACAATTTATCTTTTCATGGCTTTCCAAGTGACAAAAAGCTGCGTAATGTAAGTATTTTTTATCTAACTTTGTGTTTATTTAGCGTCAGTATGTCCGCCATTTTGGATATTATCCTAGAATTGTTTCACGTAGTTTTTTGCATTTTGCTTTTCATGCACTTCTTAAAGACYTGGATAACAAGAATAAAACGAGATGCTAGGAAGGATTTCAAAGTCACAAAGCATACAAAAGTTTGTTCGGCACATTTTCGCGATAAAGATTACATTGATGTTGAAAGCAAAGCAAGACGACTTATTCAACGTGCGATTCCTTATGTTTTTAGTTGGAATAAATCCCCACCTCGACAAGAAAGATCCCTTGTCCAAAAMAAGAGAAAATCGGAAGAGCTTGATGCTTTACTAGAAGATGAGCTAACAGAAACTGYGTCTGAAGACGAAGGACAATATGAAATTAATAGCGAAAAACCTCAGTTATTGAGTAGATCTACACAAGTGAATATTCAATTAAACTGTTGTCACAGATTTTCTCTCGACGTACTTAGAGACATATGCACTACTAAGGGAAATGAAAAAAATACATCAAGCACTATACAGGATTCACCACTATTGATAGATTGACTGCTGTACTCAATTTTATTGTACCAAATGGAAATCGAGACTAATTTACTGGAATTCAAGGGCTGGTAAAGGCAAAGCTATAGACATGGCAAAGCTGTTCGACTCTGACCGGGGCTCTGAAAGTGGTGGTAGTGATTCTGATGATAGMGATGATGGTGATAGATTAACTAAGTCATCAGGCCGCAGCCATTTATTATCTGTTGAAGATGAATTCCTTCTTGTTATAATGAAACTAATGCTGGGTTTAACAAACTTGGACTTAGCAATAAGATTTAACATCTCTGATGCTACAGTATCCAATATTTTGATAACATGGTTCAATTTCCTTTATGTAAGGCTAGGTAATCTGAAGATATGGCCTCACAGGAATGTCATTATGCAAGAAATGCCCAAAGCATTCGAGGACGARTACCCAAATAACATTATTATTATCATAGACTGTACAGAGTTAAAGATTCAGTGTCCAATTTCTCTTCTGGTACAATCACAAAGTTATTCAAACTATAAATCAACAAACACTCTTAAATCTCTAGTTGGGGTTGACTCCAAAGGAGGATTCATGTTTGCCTCACAGCTTTATACAGGATCAATTTCAGATAAACAGATAGTGAAAAGGAGTGAATTCTTGGATGTGCTCTCTAGAAAAGTTAATGTGGAGGAAATGGAGCAGCATGATAGCATTATGGCTGACAAAGGGTTTGATATTGGAGGTGATCTCAAAAAAATTGGGCTTGATCTTAATATTCCTCMTTTWCTAAGAGAAAAACCCCAGTTTAATGAGTAATAATACAAAMCCAGACTATTGCTAAGCACAGAATCCATGTGGAGCGAGCAATAGGCAAAGTGCGCCGTTTTTTTTGATTTTCAAAAGTGGACTCCCAATTAGCTTGTTAGGCACCATGAATCAAATATGGACAGTTTGTTGCCTGCTGTCTAACTTTATGGACCCAATTTTGGCAGATGATGATGATGATGATAA